TCGTAATGTACGTACAAGTACCTCACTCATCAGGAGCTTTATGTTTAATGATTTACTGCACCAGCCAGAATACATGATAAACTGCGCAAATTAACATATCAATTAAAATTCAAAGTAAAATAAAGCGTACGGGTTTAAGTGTTACATAACAGTGTCTTTGATCTGTGTCAGTATAATGATACGAGTTAATTTCTTTTGTTCAGTGTGGATTGGTGTGATCTAAAAATAATGATAAATTTTCCCTTCAAACATAATATGCATTGTTTCCTAGAGCTATTGTATGCTGAATACTTGTTTTTCCTTGAGTGACCGAACATATAAGCTTACTTAGTTCTGTCGCATTTCTAGAGGCCTGATGAAATGAAATGAAACGAAACGAAATGAGGTCGTGTGGTTTCTGTATCTTTTTTTATATTCATTTCCACTAAGTCCGGCGTACGTTTCGCTAGTTTTGTTGACTAGTTGCGTAACTTTCGCTTGGTATATAACGCCAGACTGCAAACACTTCCCGTCTAGTGAACATGCAGTTTTTTTCTGGCAATTGCATAGCTTATTTATTTCCGTGTTGTGTGTCGTGGTGTTCTTATCAGTCGCAAGGTGGCGTTTGTTTTTACTGTTAACTGTATCTTTATACAGCTATTGCTGACTTTGATGGTATTTCCGTTGTAATTTGTTTGTTTTTTTTGTAATTTTTGTTTTTGAGATTATTCACGGTTGGGAAGCACTCGATTAAAGCAAAGAAAATATACGTTGCTTTATATATTTTTTGTGATTATTAATTCGAATAATCGAATTGTTTTACACCATTAATTGAAGTATTAAAGACATGTTGAACAATTTCAGGTCTTGGTGGTTTTGTCATATATACACGTATAGGTTTAACAGTAAACAATGTTTGTTTTATTTATCCTTACTTATTGCTGTATGTTCTATTCCATGTCCAGCGCTGAAAACAAACGTAGAACTAAATATATATCCAGAACATTGAATCCAGAGTGGGAACAAGTAGTGTTTTATAGAAATATTCACCCATTGGATTTGCAAAAGAAAAGTGTTGAGTTTACTGTTTGGGATTATGATAGATTTTCACCAAATGACTTCATGGGAGAGGTATGTACTATATATTTCCAACTTGATGCTAAAATAGTCATTATATAATACGATATTGTATTCAAATACATGTGTTTTGTTTTAAGGTACTCATCGATTTGACAGACAATCATTATTTAGACAATAGACCACGCTGGTTTAAGCTGCATGAACATGATGAAAACAACAGTGCTGAACTTCCGAAGCCTAAAACGCTTTCTCCCACTATGAGTCGACGCAGACAACATTCCACGGCAGCTCCAATCGCTTTGCAAAAAAGTCGCAGTCACACCGATGTCATGGATGATCAGCCAATTATGGAACACCGACAGGGCTCTAGAATTGACCAAAAGGCTCGTTCTCTCACCCAGCTTGCTCAAACGGAAAGCAGTGAAAACGCCAAGGATCAACCCTATGGTACCACTCCTTTGAAGGCCAAACGTCCTCATATGCAGTCTTCTTTCTGGAAAGAAGGTGCGAGATTTCAATAGTTGTGAATGGTAAAATTTCATGTAAGGTACTGAAATTTGCATGTCATGACGATGTTAGCTATTAGCACACTCAGCCCCACCCAGTAAAACTTATAGCAATAGTAACATAGTTGCGAGTAACATGTATGAAACGTAAACCTTCCCACTAATCCCACTAACAACTCTTCCCTAGTTACTCCGTTTATGACAACAATTAAGACGGTAACGCATGATTCGAAGTCGGCTTTTTACATGTAGGAATTATACTAATGTAGTTCAATAATAAAGCGCTGTAGTGTACTTCTACTTGCATGATATTCACTGGCAATATATTAAAACACATCCCGTCTGTAGGCAATATTTCACGAAAATACATAATTATTTATATATCATACTCGAGATAACATAGTGTATTAATCATCATATATTTCATTACCACGAGGTCGTGTTTCAGCTCATCTTTGCGCGCGCATATACATTGTGTGTTGTGTTCTATTTTGTGTATAGTGTTCTCTTTCACACCATGATGTTTGTCAAGTGGCTTGTTGTATTTGTGTGTTGCTTTTCCTTCATCAGTAATCATTTTCACGATTATTTGTATATTTTGATGCAACCATGCAGCATTTTAGCACAGTCACCTCGCCAAGAACTGTACAGGTAACTACGCCCTCTGGCGTCTTGCATAGAAAATTAGCAAACCAAAAAACGATGACGACGCCGTCCTTCTTGTGTGTTGGGTAATACGAGTAGAGCTCCATGGCTTCACTGTTAGTTAAGTCTGCACAATGTATCACGATTTGCCTTTGACTTTCGTGCAGAATTTAAAGTAAAACATAAAAATCGATTTTCATCGACCAGTGTTCGCTTCCGATCGTTGCTTGCTTGTAATCACTCCAGTAGAACCTCCATTACCTAACACGGGTATGCTTATGTGAACTAATATGGCTGGGGAATTTGTGCACACACGTTTACATCGCAATGACATAATGTAATATATTTTACTGCATGATAATCGAATACGCTGTGTGAAACTTACAATCATAAAAGTATCACGCACAGGGCACATTAATGTCAACTATATGTTTCACAATTATTCGGGGGTAGTATTTAGTTCACCGAACATTATCCCCCCTCTAAACCCCCACCCCCGGCTATATGCTACCTTGAATTATCGTGGTCATTTAACACAAACGTGATGTGTTATTTTCATTCTGCTTAGATCCCATATCCAAGACGATTGCTCACGTAACCGACTGCCCTGTTAATTTAGAAAATGAGCGGCAGAAGACTGCCACCACTACCCCCATTACGTTTTCATCAAGTACACTACCTTCAGCCAGATCCAGTTCCACTATACGTACAAGATCGTCCCGCAAAGATTATTCTCCGGACGAGCCCCATGACGCTGCACGGGTCGCACTTGCTGCGGCCGAAGCAGTCGTACTACAACTACAGCCAGGTGAATGCGCATTATAGAATACCATACATTTAACATGGTTGCAGCATTTGCTTCATGTATTTCAATATAATTTATGGGTGTTTTTTTCTTGTGTTTGATCAGTTGCTTTTGTTTATGAGTTCGTTACATGTGATTGTTGTCATTATCATCAATCCCATGAGTTGACATACTATTGTGACTTGTTGCTGTTCGGTAGATTACTAAGATAAAAACATTTGTTATATAAAAGAAGTGTTATTTATCTTTGGTTATAATATGAAATGCGATTATTATTATTAACTCTTCTAGATAATCTTCCGTTTGTTTGCTATAAAACGGGCGGAATCACAATTGATCACACCTTAATGCTTCAATAATATAATAATAACTATTGCATATATTGATAACATTTGATTGAAATTCTTACAGCACTGACAGAACAAGAAAGTCAATACTATAACGCCCCTCTGCAGATCCAAAAACCATACATCAGTGATGAAACTATACAGTTAGGCGCCAGCCAACTGGAGCCATCAACTGATATACCAATCAGAAGAACGCTTTCAGCAGGAGATGCTACACCGTCCATAGAACATTTAGCCAGCACGAGTATATTGCGAAGAAGGGTGAGTTGCGTAATCTTGATTGTATTCACCATTGATATAAGTCATGTTTTACTGTGCATAACTTTCAATAATGAAAATCCCCACTCCCCCAAATCGGAATACTGTCTACATGTAGCACGACACGGTGGCGCAATTGCTGGTTAGTTCTTTTAAAGTATACAATAGAAGATGAATCGAACTCACAAATCACAACGACTGCCTTACAATTTCTATATCAATACATGTACCATTAAATCAGCACTATCGTTGATTTTTTATCTTCAGCATGGCTACGGATCCAGCGATACAACAGACAGCAGTGAAACCGGAACACCTCGTTCTAGTAGGCATAGTAGCAGGGACAGATCACGTTCCAAGACATCGCCACACAGAACGATACGCGAAGAAAGTGTAACTAGCACCATATCATCGTATTATACAGCAACCGATTCCGCTATGCCTTCAAGTAAGACTACCATTTTCAGTCACATTGAAACATACAGTTCCATGATCTGTTCGTCCATTGACTCCATTAATTTTTACATTACTAGACTCCAGTAGAATATTATATTTATGTTTTATTCATCGCAGTGAATTATGGTCAAGCAGACAGTTACCACATGCCGCCACTACAACCAATAACGTCGGCGCATGCACATACCGAGGAACACGGCCGTGATATGTCACCAGGAACACATCAATATGGCAAAGAATCGAAACGATCCCCAAGGTAAACAAGGCCAATGAAAGGTTAAAACATCGTCACATGTATTTCCATTTTTTATCTATAAATATATTGCCAATGTGCTTTATAATTATGTGATCTGCTATATTAAAGTGATATTTGCTTAAACAATGTTTCTTAAACAGATCTGACATTTACATCTCATACGATAATGTTTTACTTGTAGTCATCACCATCACCAACACAGAAGTCATTCTCGGAGCAAACATGAAAAGCATCGATCTCGTTCTATTGAAACCAATCAATTTCCCACGGAGCATATGGGACAATTTTCAACTCATTCGTTGCCAAGCAACGTCTCATTTACAAGAACACCATCAGGTAATGGTACCTCCGATATGTGCTGTATATAACTAGTTTATATCTATCTCATTGTCGCTCAATCATCCGATATCGTTAGATCAATGATTGTAATAGTGTCCGAGTAGCGTCTACTTTACGTAGCACTTAAATCGAATTACATCAATTGTTTTAAAATAGGAACTAATTTATCCTACATTGATTGGGTCGAGATGGCTTGCCAGACTGATGCCACGTGAAATATCGATTCCTTTATTTATGTTACTGTTAATAAATAACATTTTTCTTTGATTAGAAACGTACATACCCAATCTCGATTGTAGATCAGAGGCAATGTTGGATGCACACACATCCGGATATAGGTAATATGTTCAGTTTACCTACCGAAACTATTATATAGTGTGTCTCTTCGAATGAATCTATAGCTCATACTCATCTTGTATTTCAGTGATACGCCATGGATTGCCAGGCAACCACCTGGAGCCCAAGATATTCACATGAACACCAAAGCAGCAATGTACACAAGAATGTTACTTGGAGACCTTGGTCCCGGCCAGGTTATCGACCCAGAAATGCCCAGTAAGCCTATGAACATTAAACATTTCGCAGCCGATGTTTGTGATTTATTAATTAACCCACGTTGGCGTTGCTCATATACAACATTTATCAGGAATACAACCCACACCAATCCACATGTCCATTAAAAGTTTTACTGCACATTTAACTAGTAGCAAAACTAACTTCATCCACCACAGCACTAGTAGTAGTAGTCCCATTTTGGGATTGCTGATAGTTGCTTAAGAATTACTATTATTTTTAAAAGAACCTCACGAGATTTTACTTTGAACTGTTTGATATATATATATATATATATATATCACGGGTGACACCTTCCTATTAACCTCAATAAATCCTTTGTTTTCCACTCTCATATTCTACGTTACCACGACAACCAGGGCAAAGCAAAGCCGCCTTTTTGAAGAAAGGTAATCGAAGCATCCTTTCCTGTCCGATGGCTTTCTCCGTTCCCTGTGTTTTTTTCTTCGCATGTTCACGCATGCAAGGTTTATATTTTCTGCTCCATAATTTTGTATTGTTCTGCATGGTATATTCACTCACCTACTCACTTGAAGCAAGCATAAACTAACTTCACGCAACTACAAACGTGTTGCATGCCTTGCAATGTAACCGGTGTGTAAAATGAGACACCACCTCAGTATTGGTTCGTCACGGTACTCTGTGGCATCCACTCATAGATGTGTGTAATACTGTCTGACCTGGTGCATATATTATCTTAGCGTAACATGTAATATGGCATTGGAAAGGCGTACACTGCATGGGCCACTACAGGAACTGTAAGGTAATATTGTGCAGGACGTATCATGTACAATTACATATATAATATAATGCAACATCTAACACGTAATTACCATGAATCTGGAATAATATTATCTAAATTATTTGCTCCTCAATTTGGATTGTGGCAGCTAATGCAGAAATGACTGGGGAAATTAAATTAGTTCTGCGGAAAGACAGTAGAACGGAAGGAGACACGTTTTATGTAGAAATTGTGCAAGCCAGAAAAATAACATACAAGTTCAAAGTAACAGATCACCTTCCAGGTTAGTATGTCCAATACACATAATACGTTAAAGCGTGGTGGTCGTCGCGCAGCGCGTGTTCGAAGTAAACAACAATGTATACGTCGCTATGAGTCCCATATCGAACAGGACGCGACACGACGACTACCGCCCTTTAATATAGCAGCAAGGCAAATATAGATGATAAATGTTTTAAGTAAGTCTCTACGTATAGATATGTTGTTCGTAACATTGCATGTCTGCATCCACACAGTGTCGATGAAATAAACCTACACGCAAATGCCTTCCGAGATATCGTTGAGGGAAGGAAAGCCATTATAAAATTACTATTCCCTCTAAGGAATGACACGTCCAACAAATCAAATGCAAGTTTTCATATTTCTTCAGATTTGTATGTCAAGGCATATCTTATCGTTGGCAATAAACGAATCTCTAAGAAGAAAACAAGAATATGCAAACATGATTTAGAGCCGACATTTAGTGAGACATTTCAGTACAATACAAACGTCAAAGGACTAGCATTACAGGTATTTTACAATCATTTCTATTTGTTGAATGACATTTAATATTCGATGCATGTGAAATTTATGACATTATAATAAGATAATAATAATAATACAATACTTGGCATGTTACTTTTTTTATCAGATAATGCTGTGGGCGGATGGGGGAAGATTTGGTCGCAACTTATTAATAGGCGAGGCATTGGTATGGTTGGATACGGTTAATTTCACTCAAGGAGCAGTAGATGGATGGTACAAACTTTTTCTTTCCCCGTTGTCTCCGTCAAAATCAACAGTACGTACACCGTAACAGTGCTCCAGTTTCGATATTGGTAGGGTTAACTGCAACGATCTTGAGATCTTCATTCAGCGGACACAACAATTGCCATTGGTTTGAATAAAACAAAATGATTACTAAATAAATATGACGATAGACTGTAAAACTCACTAACAGGATATGACGTACGCTTCTGCTGGGTGTCACGACTTAGACTAGCATCGTGGATTGCACGAGTTCACATGACACCCGTGTCCCATGTGATTCTCCATTGGTTGGTACGGTGACGCATACACAGGACCCTCATATTTCGTGGTTGGTCATTGCCTGATTGAGTGGTACAACATTATTATTGAGAAAATCAAGCAATTCAATCACTCCTTCAGAGTTACATTAAGCACAGGAGCGTCCCGTGAGCCGTTCGACTAAAGGACTCTCTGTGACAACACGTGGTTCCTCATTGGATGACTGTTTTATCATTATTATCATTCGTCGCCGGTTGAAAACCCGATGCAAAAAAAACAAAAAACAAAAACATTACGTACGATATTGTAAAAACAATGATACACGGCGAATATGAGGTTCGACGATTTATTCTAAGTACAAATATTGTTTTGACTGAAAACAAACATTCAACACATGACCACTATCCTGTACGAATCAGGCAATATCTATTCTTTGAAGATTACGGTATAAATATGTGTGTTACTACATTATGAACGCATTGAAAACGGGTAATACATGCTGCTTTCGTTGCATTACGTTCTTGGACAGGTACTAAACTGGGTAGATCTCAGGTCCTTGATGAATGAGATTTGAAATCGTGCTTCATAGTCACCCCGTGTTTGCCAATGATCTAGTATATATATATATATATATAACCCTTTGGGATACATTTCTGCAGTTTTTTTACAATGTTTATTATTTGTTTGGGGTTTGGGTCATCACGTTAAAACTGCCTGATTGTAAAAATAGTATTCAAAACACAAATCGCCTTACACGTTTCCATGGGAACTGGGATATTTTAGAATAGGTTATTATCTATAAATATGTAATGCGATAAAAGTAGATGATAGCGTCTTACCAGTGAAAATGGTGCTTGTTAAGTATTATCTAAATCATTTTATATACAATTGTTGCTATATCAATCCTTTTTCTTTTGAAGAAAAACCCACAAGGTTGCACCATATAGTGTTTAGCTTTAGTATTGACAATGTTTCTATTTGTATTTATTGCATGTTTCAAATGTACGAACTGGGAACTATCTGGACATTACGCAAACATGGTAAAATTTATTATAATAATAAAATGGAAATGGAATTCTACTAATTTTTGTAAACTATTGAATTATGTCGAATAATATTCATCTTCGTAAATAGTTGAATTTAAGCAGACTAATTGTAAAATTTTTGTACAAAGGTATTTCTTTTGTAAGTATCTAAATATGTGAACAATTTCAATTTCATATGTTGAGTTTATTCAAATTCTTTTACATTTACAGTTGACAGAAAATACTTACATTATCTTGATGTTTAAATGTCACACATGTATTTATTTAAAACGTGTTTTTGTTATATTGCCAAATCATTTTATTTTTTTGTGAAATCGTTGTTTATATTTTCTTTTGTATTTTAATGTGATAAAACTGCAGTTACACAGTATTTTGATATTTTTATATTAATTTGTGCACGTGTCTGTTCATTGATGCTGCATTCATATTTCAATTTGTCATTTGGAAATCAACAGAGATGCCATTTTTAGTATTATCATGGGGCATGTAGCGTAGATTGGTAGAGATGTTTATATGTGGTTTGAGACAACTGTCAGTCCTTGAAAAGAGATGCTAACTGACTTTACAAGTCAAATAACATAATTATTCGTATATATTAAGGATTTAAAGCAACTTCAAATTTACGATCAATATTGTATAGCATAGCTCTGATGGAAAAAAGCGACATGACCAAATTTATGTAGCGCGGATTAATCCCATTCAAACCAATATGCTGCATAAATTACATTTATTTTTAACATTTAGAATATCTTGTTGATAGATATAAATTTTAGTTAACCCTTTTTATGGTAGTGTTTAAACAAAAGACACAAAGTTAGAATGCGCTTATCACACGTGTTAGCTGAACAACTCGGTATTGATGATGATTTCTTTATGTGATTCAAAATACAGAGTAAATTTAGAGTAAAGTCAGATTAACTTTGATGTTACGTGTGCAATCACAACTCAAGGTATGAATCATCATGTGTGTGATTACACTCTGAAATGATTTATCCAGACCTCAATTAACAAATTAATAGTGACATCATTGGCAGTGAAACATAGCAGCTGAAGGGAAGTATTGTTCATTTTTTTCTAAGCACATGGTAGTCACACTTGCGTTCACACAAGCATGATAAACAATGCGAGTACCGCAATACAGATATTGCATTTTATGAGACTCGCGATATATTAAAATTCACATTTCTAGTTTGTAATCAAGCATGCTGCACCCCTGCATTATTTACTCCATGGAGATTGTTTGTCATATATTCCTCATTTACAATGCAGAATTGTGACTGTATAGTTGTTTTAATTAAATAAGATTTAGGCTTCACTTCTATGCATTAATGTAATAAATGTACTGTATTGTATTCGTCTAAATATGATAACCAGCAATACGTAAATAAATCTACTCAATGGCATATTATATTTCATTACAGTCTCTTATTCAATAAATCATTGTACGAGAGCGGTGACGTATCAGGGGGAAATATCTTCTCACTGGGGTTCTCCACACGTGTCAGGGGGGAATAGCGTCTCGTCTCTTTATCGCGTCCCCTTGAGGTACGGGATCGGGAAAGTCACTTATACTTTACAGTCAAATAAACACACACAACGAAATACGTTTCAACTCTCGTCTTAGTCGGTCGGTCGAGCACTCTATAAGACACAGCGCCCTGGGGAGAAGTCCCCAAGACTATCGCAAGGCTGACCCAAGACTCTCTCTAGCCTGCGTCAAGACTCGCCCCAAGACTCTCCAGGACTGGACTGCGTCTCTCGTGGTGTACTCGCCAAGACTAACTAAAACAACTTTATTCATTTTCAAAACATTAACCAATTACAAAGCAGTAAAAAGACTCTAGGTCGTAACCTTCAATCATAAAGCCAATCACACTAAGTACTGAATACGTCATATATTTTGATTAATCGTTCTCTACATTAATAACTACGAATACTAACTGCCAGAAATAGTAGTCCGAATAGCGACGGTTATCTCGTAATTAGTTCCAAATCACTGAGTCGAGTTCCGTCCAAAACCTCACATGGCCTAAACGGTGCCAGACATAACACAGCCATTTGCTAATAATCAGCTAATTAAGTCGATTAACAGATACGCAAAAACAAATTCATCATAGACGCCCCAATCACAAACTAGAACTTCTTTTATCAAATACTCACTATGAACGGTTTTTTGACATCAACTTATTGTGAATTCCCATGTATGCCATTCTTGGAATTTGTTGTGGTGATATATTAGCGGGAAGGTAATGATATTATAATGACGCCATACACAATCTAGATCCAAAGTCGTCATCATTAATAATCAATGTACATGCATGGCCACAAAAGAACATACACATTGCTGAACAACTGACAAACACAGAAGAGTAACAGACAAATATATAGACTGCAAGGCATACAGCGAATAGTCGTGAATATCGTGAAAATTTACATCTTTTGAAATATATATATAAAGTATATATTAATAATGATGTAATGAAAAAAGTGTTACATTTTAGTATTTTCAAACTTTCATGTTTATTATTAGACGCTAGTCAGTAAAAGCTCGAGGAGAGGATAGACTTGGATGACCAACCTACACAAAGAAATTTAAAAAAAATAATCTCAAAAAAATATTTCTAAACCATATAAGATTCAAAAAAAACTTGTTAAAAAAACATCTAGACCTATAAACTTTTCGAAAATTATATTAAATAGTCAACCTGATTGTAAAAAATAAAAGAAATTTTAACAAAATAATGAAAATAAATTGATCAACAAAATAATATCTGCTCTGATCAACTTTATGAATAAATGCTAAATAAGTAAATGTTTTATCTACAAGCAAGACATAAATAGAACCTCTTGTACAGTAGAACTATCGACCAATATTTGACCTATAACCCTATGTAAATGTCACGCGTTCGTACACGATACAGAGCCTTATCTTTGCTTACAATATTAGATTATGGACGATCATCCTGCGCCATACTAATCACAGGGGGAAAACAAAACATGCACATATTTAGTTTAGCTGCCGAAAATCATATCTCAAAATACAAAATGTTTGTCCAACCCAGTTACAAGTGGTGATAAGACACAGGAATATTTGCAAATGTCGACCGGTTACATATAAATCATACATTATCGAACGTCTCACTAAATTTTGATGGTGATGTTCCATTGCAAGGCTTCAATTATATACTTAGGATGAAATAATAATACGTCACTGTGTGGAACACTAGTCGGACTAAAAAAATCGCCATTTTTAAATTTAACACAATTCCTTCACTCTAAATCTGACTTCATTTAAATCTAAATTTATACACATGTATGTGTCCTATTTTAAATAGCTCGTCCTCTCACTCTTGATACATGTTCGGCGACGTAGAATTAAATCCAGGCCCTCCAAAAAGGTTAAAGCGCGGTGGTCGTCGCGCAGCGCGTGTTCGAATTCAATGTAAATAAACAATGTATTTTACACGCTTTGTTATACGTCGCTATGAGTCCCATATCGAACAGGACGCGGCACGACGACTGCCACGCCTTAAAAGAAGGACAACAAACTATAAAAGAAATCATGACTTTACGCAGTTCAGCGGTATCTACCCGTCATAAACTTGACGACACCTCGGACAACAATGGTGCTACTGGCCGTGAAAACCGTGATGTCAGTTGTGAAGCCAGTGGTGGAGCGTTTAATTTAGCGGATGTCATGGGTGAGATACGTAACCTGAGACATGAAATTACAAATAGTATAACAAAAATGAATGATGGAATGAAGATTCTATCCAACGAAGTAAGAGATGTTAGTAGCAAAG